GAAAAAAAAAAAAAAAAAAAAAAAAAAAAAAAAAAAAAAAAAAAAAAAACTGTTAACAACAATAACACTAAGGATTCCAATCATTCCACTACAATTAGCAAGTAAAAGCAAAACTAAAACGTATTAAGCAAAAGAATAAACCCTGATCAATTTATAATGTTGTACAATGTAAAAGAATGTACTATATTAATCTACTCAACAGACGGTTTCTCGAAGTTAAAATCAGTAGGCTAGGCTTTGTTCAATTTATCGCTAAGTTTTCCTAACGTTCATGAAAAAGAAACGTGTAGAAGGGTCGTAGAACGTTTCGTTTTCTTAAAATTTTAACGACTTGTATTGAAATGTGCCAATGAATCGAGTTGTTTTGCCTAAACGTACGCATCGCGGACCGATAACCTCGCAGGCGACTGCTTGAACAGCGGTTTCCCCCCATTTACCAATAAATCCTTGCGAGCTTTATGACAATATTTTTTTCCAAAACTCGTTTAGGAACATCTTGGAAAAGCGGCGAAAATGTGAGTACTATTTCTGCATTTTATCGCCTGTGCTGACCTACTAATTTCTGTAAATTCCTGTGGGAAATAATTTTGCTTGAGTCTGAGTAGTTTTATGATGCAGCGTAAACTATACAAGCGTTAGAATAAGTCGCTTTCTGCTGTTGCTATGATAAACGATAAATGGTTGACGATACCTTCCACGGTCCGTTTTACGCATAAAACTTGCAGCAGTGAACTTTTAATCCCTCTCGTGGTATGTTTAGCTTTTTAGTTTTAAAATCAAGGTAATCCAGGATCTTATAAGGTGTTTGTTTCGCAACCCAGCAAAAATTCTCGATCAGTCGTTGGCAGTGCAATCTAGATCTGTGAAGCCTCCATCAGCTGGTTTGTAATACGTATCTAGGTCCATGGATTGCTGTTTTAATTTTCATTTTGGAAACTTTTCTCTCAATTCAGTCAGATTTGACATAGATAAATGCAGATTTACAAGACATTGCTGTTTGTTTAGATCGCAACCAGGCATATTTCTACTTTTCTACTCCCCCTGGATGGGATTCTAGTCCATTGCAGGGTTGTAACCCCCAGCATTAAATTTGTTGTTACCCATTTGTACACCTTGTGGCAAAAGGCACTATAAGAAGGAAAGTGTCTTGCCCAAGAACACAATACAATGTCCCCTACCAGGGCTCAAACCTGGACCGCGCAATCCAGAGTCCAGCACTCTAACTTTTTGGCCGCCATCCCTCCACTAGGGTAATTCACAATATAAGTGGGTATCCAGAAAGTGGGGTTAGTTGTATTCTATTTCTACACATACTTATTGTTGTTATCTAGGAGTGAGTTTGGAGGACGTCCACCTTCCGCCAGAGGCACCAGACCTCCATCTGCTACAGGAATGAGACCAGCGAGTGGAGCACGAGGAAGAATGCCTCCTAGCTGTATCCTTAAATTTCAACCTTAAATTACTGTTCATGATAAGTAAATTGGCTGAGTTAACATACAGCTTACGTTAGGTGCAAGGAATTAATGGCAAAGTCCTGGACTCATTAAGATGCTGACTCAAAGACACTTGTTTGAAAATCTGAAACTGTGACTTACATGTACATTGTAGACTTGGAAATTTAAATGAAACACAGAAACATGAGACTTTCTGACTCATTCATAGTGACATCCATGGATCAAATATCTTGATTTGAATCAAATAGTATCTGAGTCTCAAGAGTTTTCTAATTTTCATAATAGACCTTTTGCGCATTCCACTTCAGTGCGTTTGAACAATAGTACCAAAGTGAGGTTGGGGTGGACATTTTCATGTTTGCTGTATTTTGTCCAGCCTGACCTCGACTCGGTGTCATTGTTTCTTGGAATGCGGGAAAGGTCTATTAAATTGATGGGTACTGGTAGTTTTCAATTGATGATTTCCAAGATTAGTAAGTATTAAATAAAATTTGAGACATTATCCCTTATCGCCAAAAGCTATATGTAAAACTGTGACAGGAATTAAAGTTTTCTCCACAGGAAGCCCGAGAAGTGTCTTCCGTCTTGTTCCTCGGCTACGGAACTTGCCAATAATTTTATTAAAAAAAAAAAAAAAAAAAAACTGTTAACAACAATAACACTAAGGATTCCAATCATTCCACTACAATTAGCAAGTAAAAGCAAAACTAAAACGTATTAAGCAAAAGAATAAACCCTGATCAATTTATAATGTTGTACAATGTAAAAGAATGTACTATATTAATCTACTCAACAGACGGTTTCTCGAAGTTAAAATCAGTAGGCTAGGCTTTGTTCAATTTATCGCTAAGTTTTCCTAACGTTCATGAAAAAGAAACGTGTAGAAGGGTCGTAGAACGTTTCGTTTTCTTAAAATTTTAACGACTTGTATTGAAATGTGCCAATGAATCGAGTTGTTTTGCCTAAACGTACGCATCGCGGACCGATAACCTCGCAGGCGACTGCTTGAACAGCGGTTTCCCCCCATTTACCAATAAATCCTTGCGAGCTTTATGACAATATTTTTTTCCAAAACTCGTTTAGGAACATCTTGGAAAAGCGGCGAAAATGTGAGTACTATTTCTGCATTTTATCGCCTGTGCTGACCTACTAATTTCTGTAAATTCCTGTGGGAAATAATTTTGCTTGAGTCTGAGTAGTTTTATGATGCAGCGTAAACTATACAAGCGTTAGAATAAGTCGCTTTCTGCTGTTGCTATGATAAACGATAAATGGTTGACGATACCTTCCACGGTCCGTTTTACGCATAAAACTTGCAGCAGTGAACTTTTAATCCCTCTCGTGGTATGTTTAGCTTTTTAGTTTTAAAATCAAGGTAATCCAGGATCTTATAAGGTGTTTGTTTCGCAACCCAGCAAAAATTCTCGATCAGTCGTTGGCAGTGCAATCTAGATCTGTGAAGCCTCCATCAGCTGGTTTGTAATACGTATCTAGGTCCATGGATTGCTGTTTTAATTTTCATTTTGGAAACTTTTCTCTCAATTCAGTCAGATTTGACATAGATAAATGCAGATTTACAAGACATTGCTGTTTGTTTAGATCGCAACCAGGCATATTTCTACTTTTCTACTCCCCCTGGATGGGATTCTAGTCCATTGCAGGGTTGTAACCCCCAGCATTAAATTTGTTGTTACCCATTTGTACACCTTGTGGCAAAAGGCACTATAAGAAGGAAAGTGTCTTGCCCAAGAACACAATACAATGTCCCCTACCAGGGCTCAAACCTGGACCGCGCAATCCAGAGTCCAGCACTCTAACTTTTTGGCCGCCATCCCTCCACTAGGGTAATTCACAATATAAGTGGGTATCCAGAAAGTGGGGTTAGTTGTATTCTATTTCTACACATACTTATTGTTGTTATCTAGGAGTGAGTTTGGAGGACGTCCACCTTCCGCCAGAGGCACCAGACCTCCATCTGCTACAGGAATGAGACCAGCGAGTGGAGCACGAGGAAGAATGCCTCCTAGCTGTATCCTTAAATTTCAACCTTAAATTACTGTTCATGATAAGTAAATTGGCTGAGTTAACATACAGCTTACGTTAGGTGCAAGGAATTAATGGCAAAGTCCTGGACTCATTAAGATGCTGACTCAAAGACACTTGTTTGAAAATCTGAAACTGTGACTTACATGTACATTGTAGACTTGGAAATTTAAATGAAACACAGAAACATGAGACTTTCTGACTCATTCATAGTGACATCCATGGATCAAATATCTTGATTTGAATCAAATAGTATCGGAGACTCAAGAGTTTTCTAATTTTCATAATAGTCAATATCTATAACAATAGACCCTTTCCCGCATTCCACTTCAGTGCATTCGAACAAGAGTGAGGTTGGGGTGGACATTTTCATATGTTTTGCTGTATTTTTGTCCACCCTGACCTCAACTCAGTGCCAATTTTTGTTGGAATGCGGGAAAGGTCTATTAAATTGATGGGTACTGGTAGTTTTTAATTGATGATTTCCAAGATTAGTAAGTATTAAATAAAATTTGAGACAATAGCCCTTATCGCCAAAAGCTACATGTAAAACTGTGACAGGAATTAAAGTTTGTAAATTTAGTTCTCTTACAAGTTTAATATAGAGTTTTTACTTTTGCGGAGGCTTCCATATACATGTATCCTTATTGTTGTGGTTTGCCTTGACTGTATGTTACTTACACTACTTAACAGCCATGGGAAGGCCTCCAGGTAATAAAATAAAATATAAAATGTGCTGTATATGGATAGGTTGTCATTCATTCATTCAGGCAGCCAATCAGTCAGTGACTTGTCCATCAACTTTTTTACTCATTTATTCACGCATTCGGTTGGTCAGTCAGTCAGCAAGTCACTCAGCCATCTGTAAATCTTTTAACCAGTCAGTCAGCCAGTCAGTCGTCATCAGTCAGTCAGTCAGTTGGTCGGTCGGTCGGTCAGTCGGTCGGTCAGTTGGTGAGTGGAGTCATTTAACCAGTTGGTTGGTCAGTTGTGACCTTTGGTACATGTACTATGTATAATTCAATTTATCAATAATTATTGAATGAAGACATTCAGTACTAACATAACATTATAAATTTATCCTACACTACACTGCACATTGCGTGGTATAACATTACATTACTTTACATCACATTCTTTCAGTCAGTCAATCTGTAATCTATTTTTCCCATTCACTCAGATACACTTGTAGACAGACAGTTTTAATGTTTTTTAAGAATATCGTCACATAAATTTATATTTTGTTTTCATAAGACATACTTCATCAAGCAGAAAGGTGATAATTAAAAGGTTATCTTTAAAAAGAAAAAAAGCAGCAAGAGTTGA